AAATAATCTAATCGTGGATAACTGAATAACTTTTAATGCAAAGTTTAGGGGAGAATGACATGACCAGGGGCCCTTTTTTTAGTGACTCTAACTCTAATGTACCTAATAACTAAAACTGCAAATTAAATGTGGTCAAATAAGTAGTTCAATAATTCCCTCTTAAACTATGAGTTTAAAGTTGCATAAAATGGGAATATTCAACTTCAAGAACTACTCTTCACCAGAGTACTTGAGTAAATGTTCTTTGCTACTTTCCACCACAGGAGGTTACAGTGTTTGTGCAAATAGGGATGCTGAAAAGTCATAGTGTGGTTAACAAAGGGTTAATCAATCAATCAATCAATCAATCAATGTTTATTTATATAGCCCAATATCACAAATGTTACATTTGTCTCAGTGAACTTCACAGTTTGTACAGAATATCAGTATGACAATACGACACCCTCTGTCCTTAGACCCTCACATCGTACAAGGAAAAACTTCCAGAGAAACCCCGCAGTTTAAAGGGGAACATGGGAGAAACCTCAGGGAGAGCAACAGAGGAGGGATCCCTCTCCCAGGACGGACAGACGTGCAATAGATGCCGTGTGTAAATCGAAGAGATAATACATTTACAGCATAGACCAAATGTTTGGAAAAAGAAGATGAATCCACGAGGATGTCAACAATCCTGTGGGAGCCATCAGGGAAGTAGTATGATGAGAGTCAGGCAGGACCACAGTGACAGGTTCAGAAAAGACTCGAAGTCCAGGACTCAGATCCAGGACTCAGGATAGAGGATCCAGGACACAGGACCGCAGCAACAGGATCAGCCACGACTCAGGATCCCGGCGTAGATAGACACCAAAAAGACATTTGGGGGAAGCTGGGTTATTCGGAACATGAGAGTACACAGGTACAGACAGACAGAAGGAAGAAGTAAGGTGTCCCACAACAGTCTAAGCCTATAGCAGCTAAACTAACGTGTCTACGTACATGCACTCCCTTAGGATAGGTTGAGGGAAAGGGGTAGCAAGTAAGACGTAAGGAACAGAGGTGGAGAGGCACAACGTGTCTACATGCACTCCCTTAGGTTAGGGTGAGGGAAAAGAGTAGGAATTAAGATGTATGCGCCACATCTATACCATGAGCGCATTGCTCCTAAAACGTTTTTGGGCACTGACACCAATCAACAGTTGTGCGTCGACTCGGCAGGGATCAAGGCACGTGTATGCCTCTCCCTGCTTCCACCGTCTACACACACAACCAAATGACATACCATCAGTAAGGAAAAAGAGTAAGAACTCAAATGTATGGGTGAAGAGGCACAACGTGTCTACGTCAATGCACTCTTTATTAGATTATTTTATCAACTATAAGCTTTATCAAAAAGGAAGGTCTTAAGCGTACTCTTAAAAACGGATAGGCTGTCTGCCGCCCGAACACAAACTGGAAGCTGATTCCACAAAAGTGGAGCTTGATAAGAAAAGGCTCTGGCTCCCATTGTACTTTTAGAGACTCTAGGAACAACCAACAACCGTGCATTCTTGGAACGCAATGCCCTAGTAGGACAGTAGGGTATAATGAGTTATTTAAGGTAAGATGGCGCCTGCCCATTAAGGGCTTTGTAGGCGAGAAGAAGAATTTTAAATTCTATCCTGTGTTCTATAGGGAGCCAGTGTAAGGCAGCCAGAACAAGAGTAATGTGGTCCCTTTTCCGAACTCTGGTTAGCAGCAAAGTGCTGCAGCATTTTGAATCAGCTGAAGCGACTTAACTGACTTCTTGGTACACCCTGATAATAGAGAGTTACAATAATCCAGCCTTGAAGTAACAAATGCATGGACTAGTTTCTCTGCATCGTTTTGAGGCAAGATAGGCCTGATTTTTGCAATGTTACGTAGATGGAAGAAGGCGGTCCTTGAGATTGATTTTATGTGGGCGTTAAAGGATAAATCCTGATCAAATATAACACCAAGATTCCTTACAGTCTTACTGGAGGCCAAATGAATGCCATCCATAGTTAGTATATCTTTAGATAATTTGTTTCATAGATTCTTTGGGCCGAGTACAATAACTTCAGTTTTGGCCGTGTTTAACATCAAAAAGTTTAAGGTCATCCATGTTTTTAAGTCCTTGAGGCAGTCTTGAATTTTATTTAGATGATTGGTTTCATCAGGCTTGATGGATAAATGTAGTTGAGCATCATCCGCATAACAATGGAAATTTGCAGAATGATTCCTTATAATATTGCCTAATGGAAGCATATATAATGTGAACAAAATAGGTTAATATGCTGTAAATGTATACATCAATGAAAGACGTAGTGGATTCGCAGAGGGCGTCTGCCAAAGGTTAAGTGTAGAGCAGTGTGTGTGAGTCTACATATCCTTTTAGAATTATTCAGGTCACTTTTTTATTTGATAGTCAGAGTGTGTGTGAGATGGAAATAGATGATGGCACGGTAGATGTGGTGATTTTGATTACAAATGTGTTGAACCAGTGAAAGACATTCAGATCCACAGAGCTGTCTGAAGATGATATTCACATCTGCTCCACCTAATTACAAAGTTCTTTCATATAGAAATATGATAGGATCAGGTCATAGAGCATCTTCTAATTCCAATAAAAGGGCAGCTGTTGCGAGGTGAGGGATGATGTGCCTACAAGGATGTAATCATAAACTATACCCTGTAGTCAATTAGAGAGAATTAACTAAATAAAAGCCTTAGAACCCAGTCCTTATATCTGTCTGCAATCCAAGCTAGATGAAAACCTGTATCACGGTCTTGTCTCCTGCTCTCCCTTTTCCATGTCTACTCTCTCTATAAATACATAAGGTGCTGTTTCCAAGGTAACAACTCTATGGAGAATTGGCCACCTGAAATCTAGATGGAGCGGAAGAGGAGGGTTAATTGTGGTCTGTAGGCTCTCTGATGGTCGGGAAAAGACCCTTGTTTCACTGTGCCACCATCTGTCCAACTGTACCCTGAAGTTTGGATCCTGGGACTAATGTGTTTTATTAATAAATATCTCATCCTCCAAGCCAATTGTAATGTTGAACAGAACAAAATACATTCTCAATATAAATAATTCCATTTGTTTTTCCATACATTTCCCATAAAAGAATATACATTTATTGCTGAATGGATAATTTTAAATATTTCTCCAACAAGTTTCTGAATTCAAGACCTCTCTTATAGTGCAGTGTGAAGCCACATATACTTACTTATTAGCTAATGAATGTTCAATGTGTCATTAGTGAAAATATTACAAATGAGTCAACAGTTACTTCCATTTTGTTTTTAATTGTATCTATGAAAGAGTGGTTCTATGGTGTGGAGATTGGTCGACAAGATGTTCAAACCAGTGTCAAGGCAGATGGTATACTATGTCTTTCGGTTGAATATTTGTTCCTCTTTTGGTTGCTTTATTTTGAAAGTATTTGCCAGAAATGAAATGTCAGTGAGCTATTCTTCTCCTCTCTTTAATTAGTATTTACTGCCATCCAGTGGTTACATTCAGGAAATGCAACAGTACCTTTATTATTTGTCCATTTACAAAATATGTATATTTCTCCTGCTAATTGCTTATGACAAAATTAAATGAATACTGAGATGAGGTAAACAATGATTTTTTTTTTTTAAAGGTATCGATTCTGCCAGATTATTCTCACACTTTTCATCACATCACCAAAAATCTCTCTTTAGGAGAATAGTCTAAATACATTATGAGCAGCAAGGCAAGGCAAGGCAAGGCAAGGCAAGGCAAGGCAAGTTTATTTATATAGCACCTTTCAACACAAGGCAATTCAAAGTGCTTTACAAAAATGGAAGACATTATGAAAATGGCATTTAAAATCAGTCATTAAAAAGAAAAGATAATAAAATAAACATTAAAAGAAAAAATACATGGATAAAAGTTAAAAGTTACAGTGCAGTTTAAGATGTGAATAGTTCAATTAAAAGCAGCGGCAAAAAGAAAAGTCTTCAGCCTGGATTTAAAAGTAGTAAGAGTTGCAGCGGACCTGCAGGTTCTTGCAGCACACAGATTTAGGATTCAAACAACAATTCTGAAAGATTAAGGATCAACATACTGTGTAATTATTTGAGCTTCAGTGTGCTGTTGGATGTGTGGACACCAAGGAAGAAGGAAAGGAGGTTGTGGTAACTCCTTACTCACCTTCACAAACACCCCTCTAAAAAAAGAACCCTACAGTACACCAACGTAGGGGAGCAGTGGCCAAAATGTCCAGTGAGGAGGAGAAAAGAATAAATAAATAATCCAGTAATTCAATATATATGATTCTCGATTAAGTACTTTGACTTTTGGTATTTTAACAATTTTTTGATGCCAATACGTCACAGTTTATGCTTCTTTATACTTCTACTGCACTACATTTTAGAAACCAGTATTGTACTTTTTACTCCATAACATTTATTTGACAGCTTTTAGTTACTACTTAGATATAGATTATTAGATTATTCAAAAAGATAAATCAATTATTAAATACACTTTGAGGTGTATTTATAGGTGAAGATATCCAGCAGCAGGACATAAAGTTATTCAAATTAGCTTTACATTTACTTACTATGATAAAACACATCAATAATCATTATAGTAAAACTCAATATATACGATTCTGAAAAGGGCCATTATTAAGGAGTACTTTTACTTTTGGTACTTTAAGTATATTTTGATATCGATGCTTTTGTACTTTTACTTGTAACACAGTATTTTTTACACTGTAGTATTTCTACTTTTGCTTTAGTAGAATATACTTCTTACACCACTGCTACCATGAGTGTGGAGCTGTGTGCTACAAAAGCCTGAATTTACAATTCACAGCCAGCTCCACTCTGTATTTTCTGGTTCCTCCCCTTTAGATCCACACTGAGGAGGATGGGTGTAATAACATATGGGTAAAGTACAAGAGCTGACAGCCACATTCACAGTTCAGATTACAGCTAGTTTCAGCTCTCAGGAAGTGAAACTCAGACACTCGATGCCACTGAGAGGTGAAATGGCGCAGAAAGGAGTTCAGCTGGACCGGGAAATCTTATCTTGTCCCATCTGTCTGGATCTACTGAAGGATCCGGTGACCACTTCCTGTGGACACAGCTACTGCATGAAGTGTATTACAGGCTTCTGGGATGGAGAGGATGAGAAGAAGATCCACAGCTGCCCTCAGTGTAGGCAGAGCTTCACACCGAGGCCTGTCCTGCTGAAAAACACCATGTTACCAGCTTTAGTGGAGTAGCTGAAGGAGACTGGACTCCAAGCTGCTCCTGCTGATCACTGCTATGCTGGAGCTGAAGATGTGGCCTGTGATGTCTGCACTGGGAGGAAACTGAGAGCCTGTAAGTCCTGTCTTATGTGTCTTATATCTTACTGCGAGAAACACCTCCAGCTTCATTATGATTCACCTGCCTTTGAAAAACACAAGCTGGTGGAGCCCTCGAAGAAGCTCCAGGAGAACATCTGCTCTCGTCACGACGAGGTGATGAAGATGTTCTCTCTGCTCTGTGGATGAACATAAAGGCCACGACACAGTGTCAGCTGCGGCAGAAAGGACTGCGAGGCAGAGAAAGCTGGAGGGGAGTCGACAAAACATCCAGCAGAGAATCCAGGACAGAGAGAAGGAGGTGAAGCTGCTTCAGCAGGAGGTGGAGGCCGTCAATGGCTCTGCTGATAAAGCAGTGGAGGTCAGTGAGAAGATGTTCACTGAGCTGATCTGTCTGATGGAGAAAAGAAGCTCTAATGTGAGGCAGCAGGTCAGATCCCAGCAGAAGAGTGAAGTGAGTCGAGTCAGAGGGCTTCAGGAGAAGCTGGAGCAGGAGATGGCTGAGCTGAAGAGGAGAGACGCTGAGCTGAAGCTGCTCTCTCACACAGAGGGTCACAACCAGTTTCTGCACAGCTACCCCTCACTGTCAGCCCTCAGTGAACCTACACACTCATCCAGCATCCGTCCTCTGCTCTACTTTGAGGACGTGACGGCGGCCCTGTCAGCAGTCAGAGACAAACTACAGGACGTCCTGAGAGAGGAATGGACAAACGTCTCACCGTCTGAAGTGGATGTTTTACTGTCAGCAGCAGAGCCATATACAGGCCCCCCGATACTCAGTAAACTTTCTAGATGAGTTCACACAGCTGCTTTCTATCATATGTATTGATTTTAACTCATTAATTATTGCTGGAGATTTTATCATTCATGTGGATAACACCAACGATAAAAATGCTAGAGAATTGCTCCATACTGTGGAGAATTTTGGTCTGACTCAGCATGTCTCAGGGCCCACTCATTATAAAGGCCATACACTGGATTTACTTATGTCCAAAGGTCTTGATATCTGCAAAGTGTTTGTTTCTGATGTCGCTCTCTCTGACCATTACTGTATCTCCTTTGAGATGTCTGTCACTGATGTGATCCACACTAGGTCAGATGTAACTTTGAGAAGGTATATAAATGAAAATACCTGTACATCATTTATCCATGCCTTTTTAGCCGCGCCTGCTCTCACACCAAACCCTGTTAGTAATCTGGTGGATACTTAACGCAAAACTGACCAATATCATTGACACCATTGCGTCCGTGAAAGTTAAAAAAATCTATGGAAAAATAAAAGCACCATGGAGAAATTCGCCATCAGTGAAATTTCAAAAAACAGAATGCCGGAAAGCTGAACGCAGGTGGCGGAAAACCAAACTCAAGATACATCATGATATTTACAAAGAAAAACTATTCACCTATACGGTCTTGAACTGAAGAAAGCTAGACAATCATTTTTCTCTGATCTTATCAACAAAAATATTAATAACTCTCGTTTATTATTTTCTACTGTTGATAGGTTAACTAACCCCAGAATGGAAATAGCCCCTGAACTAATCCCCACTCAAAAATGTAATGAGTTTGCTTTGTTCTTCACAGAAAAAATCTTAAAGATCAGGCAAGATATCAATTCCTCAATTCCGAGTCTTGACCCTGCTATGTTCCCGTTGCAAGGACAAATAATTAATGAAGCAAACATGTTAGAGTTTGTTCCAGTCAGCCATAAAACACTTGAAGACGTTATATTCCATCTAAAAACAACTACATGTAGTCTTGATAGTCTTCCGACAAACTTTTTAAAAAGTGTCTATTGCTATATTGCCTCAGATGTACTGCAGATTGTGAACATGTCGCTCCATTCAGGTGACTTCCCCAAAGGCTTGAAAACTGCAGTTATTAAGCCGCTGCTAAAAAAGAACACCCTCGATACACTGACAATCAGTAATTACAGGCCAATTTCAAATTTACCATTTTTAAGCAAAAATAATTGAAAAGGTTGTCTACCTACAACTTAACAGTTTTTTGACCACCAATAATATTTTAGACACCTTCCAATCTGGTTTTAGGTCTCGTCATAGCACAGAGACGGTTTTATTAAAGATTTTAAATGACATTCATTGTAATACCGACTGTGGGAAATCCACAGTTTTAGTTCTATTGGACCTCAGTGCGGCGTTTGACACCGTAGATCACAATATTTTAATAGAAAGACTAGAGAAATGGGTGGGTCTGTCTGGCACTGTCCTAAAATGGTTTAAATCCTATGTTGAAAACCGAGAGTATTTTGTTTCAATTGGTAGCTGTACATCGGACAGAACCAAAATGACATGTGGAGTTCCCCAGGGGTCGATCCTCGGGCCTCTTCTATTCAATTTGTACATGCTGCCACTTGCTCAAATAATTAGAAATAACAACATTTCATATCATAATTACTCGGATGACACCCAAATCTACATATCACTTTCCATAGATGAATACGGTCCTACTGATTTATTGATCACATGTCTAAAACAAATACATGACTGGATGTGCCATAATTTCTTACAGCTCAACACAAAAAAAAACGAAGTAATTGTTTTTGGAACCAAAGAAGAGAGAATTAAAGTCTCTGCACACCTGGAATCACTATTACTCGAACCGAAAAGTCAAGCAAGAAACTAGGTATAATTTTAGACTCTGACCTCAATTTTAACAGCCACATCAGGGCAATCAACAGATCAGCCTACTACCATCTAAAAAATATCTCGCGTATTAAAGACCTTATGTCCAAGCAAGACCTTGAAAAACTTGTCCATGCATTTGTCGTTAGCAAGCTTGACTACTGCAACAGCATCTTCACAGGCCTCACAAAAAAATCACTCGGTAAACTCCAACTAATTCAAAATGCTGCTGCCAGAGTCTTAACCCGGACAAATAAAACAGATCACATCACTCCAGTGCTGAGATCGCTGCATTGGCTTTCAGTAAGTGAGATAAGTGGTTTTAAGATTTTATTGCACACATATAAAGCACTAAACGGGCTAGGACCCAAATATATCAAGGACCTCCTTCAGCGGTACGAACCCAGCAGACCCCTTAAGGTCTTCAGGCGCAGGCCAGCACACTGTTCCATTTGTGAGATCAAAGCGTGGGAAAGCAGCCTTCTGCATCTATGCTCCTAATGCATGGAACAAACTCCCATAACATCTGAGAATGGCTAGCACTTTAGAATAATTTAAATCAGGTCTAAAAACATTTATTTTTAACATGGCTTTTACATTTTTAATTTTCTAATTTTCGAGCTGTTAAACATGGTTTTCTTTCTTTTAATTATTTTGTGTGTTTTTGTATTTCTTCTCACTTTGACCATTGCAAAAATGTATTGTGTTGGCCCTACTGGATAAATTGCCTTGCCTTGCCTTAAGAGGACAAAAGTGAAATTCTCAGCCTTTAGTTATTTTATTATAAAAATATCTCTGAAACAAGATATTTGAAATGTTGTATATATATTTTTTATTTATTTGTAGAATAAAGACCAATTAAATAAATTCAGATTTTCTCATTTTTCTCAGAAAAACATGTGTTGTAGCGCGATTGCACCTGCCGGCCATCGTAGTTTGTACATCTGAAACTTAAACATCGAGTTTAAAGTAATAAAAGGTCAAATAAATGTTCTTCTTCTTTTTCAAAGAGTGATGAAAACTGCTGCAACACTGTTACAGACAGTAGACCGTAAAACCGGGATGACATTGAAACCAGAGCTGGAAAAGGTGAACTTGTAGAAGATGAAAAAGGCATCTCTTGCTAAGATGTAGCAGGAAATAAATAATGGAGCCTGGAGCTACACCAGCAGAGTTCTTATTATACATCCATGAGCTACACCAGCAGAGTTCTTATTATACATCCACAAGCTACACCAGCAGCAGTTTGATGTCAGACCGGTGTGACCGGAACAGGAAGGAACCCCTGCATCATGTTGTAAACGTTAGTCACACAGGGAACGTTGTGCTTCTGTTCTTCTGTGGGTTTGTTTTGAGTCTAATGTAAGAGTATAAAGCGTGTGTGTGTGTGTGTGTGTGTGTGTGTGTGTGTGTGTGTTTTAACTTGTTAATGTCAGATGTGAGAGTTAAGAAATGGTGAGTCTCTGTGAGAGAAATTAGAGCTGTGTGTGTCAGAAGCATGGTCATTGTTTTGGTGTTGTTACAAAGCGATTATGCATTCTTACAGATAAGGTTGATTGTATCATTTAATTATGTATTGCTTTAGCAGCATCAGCAGCTGTGTGTGTGTGTGTGTGTGTGTGTGTGTGTGTGTGTGTGTGTGTGTGTGTGTGTGTGTGTGTGTGTGTGTGTGTGTGTGTTTATTACCAGGTTGACACTTACGAGGAATTTGACTTGGTGTCATGGTGCATACATAAAAGTAAATCAAAAATGAAAAACACAGATAGAGAACTATTTTAAGGAAACTATATTAACATAAACAAATTATAAAAAATATATTAAAATATAGCAGTATTTACATTGAAATAGAATGGAATAAAATATGTGCAGTAATACAAAAAAACAAACAGATGTTGTGTACATGGTGTGCATTAATGTAATGCATAGAGTCTATGATGTGGCTGAGGTAAAGTGTCAGTTGGGGTCCCGGGCCTTGTGGATGAGGCCGGTAGAATTCACTTTCAACAGATTTGTACCACCTCAGGTCTGCAAAACATACAATTGCAGGGGTCTTTCTAATTCATTAAAGAGCTAAAAAGACCACAAGTGAAGTTGTCATGAATGCAGAAAGCTCGAGAAATTGTCAAATGCAGTCCCACATTTAAAACAGCAGAGGTTGTGGTGGATGTGGGAAATTGTGAGAACTCTGAACATTTCCAGACTCAGGCCTTCACTCTCTGACTCTGTGGCAGAAACCCTCATACACGCTTTCATCACCTCCCGCCTGGACTACTGCAATGGAGTCCTGCCCGGGGTTCCAAGCAAAGCCCTGGAGAGGCTTCAATACGTCCAGAACTCTGCCACCAGGCTTCTCCCCCGCACCAAGCCCTGGCAACACATGACAGACATGGCTGCCTGCATGTCAAATAACTGATTTCAAAATACTGCTGCTGGTTTATAAAGCATGGAATGGTTTAGGGCCAAAATACATTTCTGATATACAAATGATGAACCATCCAGAACTCTCAGGTCTTCAGGGACTGGTCAGCTTTCTGTCCCCAGAGTCAGAACTAAACAGGGAGAAGCAGCGTTCAGTTATTATGCACCAAATATCTGGAACAAACTACCAGAAACCTGCAGGTCCACTACAACTCTTACTACTTTTAAATCCAAGCTGAAGACTTTTCT